TAATAGTTTGAACAACACATGATGGGAAATGAACATTGCTCGATTGAGAAGCTTGCTCAAACCGTTGTAGCGGGCGATTTGACTCACGTAGAGTTTTGAGTTTCTTATGAGCGGGCAGTTCAAATTCCTCGTAACGAATGTGAAATAAAAACGTTAATATCTTCGTTAGGAGTTGGTTTCCGTAATTTTCGTTGTGTGAATCGTTTTCTACGTGAAATTCTGGTTAAGAAACATGTATCAGATCGCTTAAATTCGTACCTTGTCTAGTGGTCCATTCTGCATTGAAATGGATCATCAAAATCTAGTAAACTTTTCATGTATACATTTAACAAAGCTTTTTTGTCTTCATATTTTTCCTTCAGTGTATTTAATGCTGCTGCATAATTGTTTTCTACGAATTTCAAATGTTTTATTAAATCAAGTGCTTTACCAGACAAAGATATTTTTAAGTAATGAAACTTCAAGATATTTGACAAAGCAGTACTATCTATACTATGAGCTCCAAGACCTCCTAATTTTGCGAAACTGGTAACGCTTACAATTAGTTCCAGCGTTCTACCGGGCCGATTTTCATGATTTTTGCGGCTATCGACGGGCAATTGTCTCTAGATAAGCCAACTCTTTTCAGATTTTCAAAATATGGCCCAGGTTTTTTTATATTACGTGGTAAAGTTGCGAATTCTCCCATTTAAACAATGTAAATTTATACTTTTTGTCATAGTCCGTTTGAGCGTTCTACCGGGCCGATTTCCATGATTTTTGCGTAAATCGACAGGTAATAGGCCCCAGATGAGCCCGCTTTAATCAGATTTTGGAAAAAGGACCCAGGTTTTTTTAAAATTACGTTATAAAAGTGAGTGAGTTTACAGAATGCTCCGGTGCTGCTACCGCTATGCGCGGGAGGATGCGCAGTGGTTAAGGAGGTTGCGCAGTAGCTGTGTAGCCTGCGCATCAGCTCTACACTTATCTCCGTAAGATTCGCGCCACTTATCTTCATTTGAGCGGTGGCCGAGTCGTCTAAGACGTCAAATGCCTTCACTATGATCACGGTTAGGGTTCGATCCCCAACTCCTGACTACCTTAATTATTACCTGATTAACATGGTTCGTTGTTTTACTGCAATATTTCATCAAGCAGTCATTCCAAAACGCGTCATTTTGACTTAAAAAATAAAAAAAAAAAAAAAATTCTTAATCCATCAAAACCAAAACTTATTTAATTCTGAAAGTAAAGTATACCTCATATCGTAATTTTTTAGGGGAAAAATAAAACTAACACTGATAGAAGGGTAAAAATAGGGCTGCGAAGCGGCCCATTGGTGGCGCGGAGCGCCTTCAGGGGGTTGGGCCGCGTAGCGGCCAGGGGGCGTAGCTCCCTAGTTATGCACTAAGGAGTTAAACATTGGTATAAATGCAGGCCATTCACTCTTTTTACCATCAAAAGTTGGAATTTTAGGTGGTTTTAAGTAAGTATGATTTCATCATATACTGGTCAGTTACCGGGAATGGACTTGCGACAGATTGATTTTCCAAACTAGTACCTGGCATATTAGATCTAGGATCCACTGAATTTATAAAGGCGTTTGCTTGAGCCAAAATTTCGTAATATTGTTTTTCAAATGTTAAAACAGTATCAATGGGGTATGCTGCTGGATTTTTTGTAGTTAATTCTTGAAATACCCATAGATATTGAGTTAGAATTCCCTTTGAGGATTCAAATCTGGTTTTCAAAGCGTCTACATCTATTGAGTCTTGCTCCAAAACATGCTTGAAACATTGTAATTGAAGTTCCAGCTGTCGCTTAGTGCTATCAAGGCTTGCCAACCTCAAATTTCCTTCATCTTCTTCCATAGCTTAATTTCTTCTGCAACCATATAAAATGTCATTAAAATGATGGAATGGCAACACAGCCTAAAACAGCTGTTGTTCAGGAAAGTTGAAATTCAAGTTTGTACATTGTCTTATGGAGCGTCCTCCGCAATGTTTAAGCGATGTGGCCATTACATTTTTTTTTTCTTATGCAAGTAGAGTCTGCATGATTTGGGGGAGCGAAACGCTACCTACCAAATTTAATAGGCATAAATTGCCACTGTCCCTTCGGAGCACAATGTTCCGTCAGGATTTAAACCATGGAAGCGCACGCTAACTGCATGGTATTAACTCCGGTAATAAATAGGACTGTAGTATTGTACCTTGGGGGCGCACGCCAACTGCAAGGATTATAGAATTTAAGGTTAGGATTTAACCTTTTGGAAGCGCACGCTAACTGCAAAGGTTTTAAATCCTCAAAAGGTCTCTTTTGCAAGTCATGGAAGCGCACGCTAACTACATGAACTTGCAACCCATAATCAATGAAATTATTGAGTGGAAGCGCACACTAACTGCACTGAACAATTTCATATGATGATACGAATTTTTTACACATAACCTTGTCAATAACTTTTCTTCAATTGTATTTTAATATATTTTATCACGTCGGGGTCACCATTTTGTTGAGTCAACAATAAAAATAAATTATACTTATAATAAAGATAGAATATTATTTAAAGAACAATTAATTACATGAGATAAACAGCCGGAATACAGAGAGAAAATTGAACTTCTTTAGAGCTCATTGACGTTGCTATAGAGATGCAACATAAGTGAACATTTTTTTCTTAGGCCCCCAGCTACTTTATCTGCAAAGTGAAATCTACATTTTTACCATTTATGCTAGATATTCCAGAGAAATTGGTCAGTGATGAGTCTAAGTGTGTAGACTCTGATGGAAAATCCACCGGACAGTGACGCTGGTGTTTGGAAGACAGTTACAAAAAAAAACAAATGTTTGCAAATGCGTAACAGACAAGTATCGAAGTCTGAAGTCTACCATAAACGTACAACTAAACGTAGATTTGAAAGATTAGATTGAATGATTAAATGTAGCTGTGCTATTTCAGCTGGACCCGGGGAATCTAACTGGAGAGGTCTTGTGCCTGCGGGGAGGGAGTTGGGCGCTGCTGACACTCACACTTCACAGTGAAATTGACCAAAATTGTCCCAGAAAAAGTTTAGTACTCTCACTGAATAAGGGGGAGGGGACAATCCCTATTTGCCTGATGTGTGAGAATTTTCACCCTTGTGATAAATTTTAATTTGAAAAAATATGTTCCTCCTGGAGGCCCAACCCCTTTCTTGCTTGCACCATTTACATTTTTAAAGCAGCCTCAGTCTTGATAGCCTGCTAAATGGGCTCCATAATGAACAGAGATGCAAAATCGCATGCAATTTCATATACGGTAAAATTTCATGAAAGTGGAACTTCTGCAATAGGCTCAGTAGGCCGTGGAATCAGTAAAATCTCAATATTTAACAAAATGAGAGTCAAACTTTTTATTTTAAAGATAATTTTACGGGTGGTGTACACTCCTCCTCAGAAATCTGTGAACTTTCATATCATGTTAAATTTCATTTTGCATCTCTGATAAGTGATGACAAAAAATCTCTAAAAAGAAGGAATGGATGCTGAGGATGGTCGCTCATGACTCATACTTCTGGCTGCTACTTTTTCTCTCCTATAATGCAATGATAAACGGCGACATTGCAGCTTTTGTCCTAACGGGAGAAAACTTCCTTTATTCGACTATCAGGAATTAATATTAACATGAAAAAACATTTAAATGTAAATGCTAATTAAGTACGTGGTTGCTTCAAGTCCGCTTAAAGTGTGGATCTTGCCCGCGATCCGTAAATTTAAAACACCCGCGCAATATGCGCCGCCTTCTTAGTTGTTTAGAGGAAAACGTTGAGGTGCTCAATCCCCGAACATGCACCGCCGCGGTGGAGATTCGGGGTAAACCGCCGAATTCCAACGGTTGACCGCCCAAGTCGCCAGTCGGAAAGATTCCTAAAGTAAGATACTACTACCAACTGTCGATAGATTCCATTGTGTGGTGTCCTTGCACAAAATGCAAACAAAATAAAAATGATTTCATGACTTTGATCAAAATAGTGATTTGTTGGAGTACAGGGCGCATTTAAAAAAAAAAGACTGATATAAACTATTTCAAATAAAATACAGGCGCTGAAGATGGACGGAAAATTTTGATTTCACAAAGACGGCGACATTGCAATGAGGCCTTCACTATACCTATGCGACATGAGCGCTACCGGTGAGAAATGACTGGAAACTAAGACGGTGCAACGACTCTTGACACGGTGGGCAAAAAGCAGTACTTAAGACTTTTCCACTGAGGAGCATCGCGTAAGAAAAATTCCTGATAAAACGTCCGATTTTTTCCTGATCCGCCAAAATTCCTGATATTTTCCAGTTTTCCCTGATGCTAGACACCCTGTTAGTTACCAGAAATTCCGAAAAGTATTGTAAAGTTGCTTAAAAATGTATGTTCCTTTCCAGCTTTGTATTTGAAGGTTACCCTCAAAGCAGGTTTCATTTAGCAGCTTTTTCTATCCGTGGAACGCGATGGATCGGGATCTTGCCAAGTTGGGCTGGTTCAATTGGCCTAACCGCAGCCTCAACCCACCTTGCGAGACTGGTCCAAGCGTGCCACTGGAACGCGCCAGTGGAACGGGTTAAGAGAGTGCTGCGTTCAACACCGTTCCTCTGCAGTTCGGATAAAAAAGCCCTTAAGGAAGAAGATTGACCGACCCTGGGAAGAAAAATGTTAACATTGGTTCTATCAGAGCTTTCGCTTCTGTTGATGGAGTCTATTTATTCTATGACAGTATTTCGGAACACTTCAAGATAAAGTATTGAGAACCAGGCATATCCAATACCACCTGACTTCGTAGGAATTGGTGCAACCCATGCCGATGAATAAATGCCTTGGGAGGTCATGATGATGCATCTCAGACTAAGTGATACCACTCAAGTAGAGATGCAATTGACAACGTAGAATTTAAAGCCTTTTCTTCATGTGGATAAAAAAATGACACAGTATATGAGGAGATGCTCCCGCGAAAGTAGACGATGGACGGAAAAGAAAGTGAGGACGAACGCACCTTTCTCTATACAGCAAGCATATCCTTTCCTTCGACACTTTCAGTCGCTTTGAGATAACTCTTTTGATATTTTCGATGGTGTCATTTTTAGTGACGGCTAAATCGAACTGTCCCCCAGTCGTGGGAGAGACTGATATCGTGATTGAACTACAGCCACACCCTGAGTCGGAAGCGCTATTTTCATCACTGACGTTTTGAGTACTTTCAGACGTAACATTGCATTCGCTACTTTCCATCGTACGAGAAATCACACGACACTTTGAATAACAACCACTAAGTTTATCACCACGCGAAAGAAGAAACGACTATAGTCACAGATGGGAACCTCGAGAAAACGCTGATAATTCGGCCCACATCAGAGTCGACAACGCACTCGCGCATTGCACAGTGCTCTCCCGCGGAGACTCGTCACTCAACTAAAACTACAAGGCGGATAAAGAAACTCACTCGAAATAGAGTAGGACGCCGTTCTGTTGTGAGCGGGTGATTGCAGCGCATTCTCGCGTAGGATCCTAGTGAGTCAACTCAGAGGATCCTTCCCCCCGAACCTCGACTCATCCATCGCCCGCTCCAAAAGTGAGGTTAAGCCGGAGATAGAGAAATAACACATAAGGCGGCTGAATTCTTGAAAAATAAGTATATTTTTGGCGTTTTTCGACCCCATTCGCGATGGGCAAGCTTGCTGCTAGTGATTGTACGATGAAAAATTCGATTTTTTGCAGTCATACGCGATCCTACCAAAGACATAAGCTACGTTTATGCGAGGCTCGAAACCGGGGTTTCACGTTCACGAAACCCGAGTTTGTAATGCAAGTTTCCTCCGTCGGGTTTATGCGGGCGCTGTAACCCGACTTTCGCGGGAAATCAAACTTTCCGATTTTGGCGCTGTTTATGCGCATACTTTCGATTGAACTTGAATTTCATGTTGGCGCCATTTTCACAAGCTATACTTCATTTTTCCACTATGAATTGATTCAATAAATTATTGGGTATTACTCTTTTATCCTGTGTATGTTCAATTTTTCCACAATATATAAGCGGAGGCTTCATCTTCACTAGAAAAGCCTTTACTGACTTTCTGAGCAACAGTTGGAAAAATGACAGTAGATGTAGTAGATGTTTAATCATTTTACGTTCATCTTTTGTTCTCCCAGTGATCAACTGGAGAGAACTTTCCTTTCACTCTGGGCCGTTTAATCAATGTAAAATCTCGTAAAATCTCGATCGCTAGTGAGATTTTCCTCTGTTCTCTTGTAAAAAATCGCTTGAAAGAGCGATTTTTTGTATGTGTGAGTGCGCTCCCATAAGATCTGATGTAACCGCTTATCGTATTAGTGCGTATTTTACAGGGGTTTTTCGAGGCTATCGATAGTCGCTGTTCGATACGTCGATACGTCGATTCAATTCTAGACATACCAACCCTTTCCTCCAAAATACCCTGTTCCTTCTGAGTTTCCTTAACTTTGCCTTCTTTAACTCCGTTTCTAAATAAACTGTATTAATTATCTGAAGTTCTTTATATCTCAAAGCTTCAATTTCCAATATGAATTTCCTAACTTTTTCACCATTTTCCTTATAAAACAAAATCAATTTACGTATGTACTTTTTACCTTTGTGTTTAGCGCTTGTTTCATTTGTGCGTCAGCTTAGCTTTGAGCTTTGATACAATAGCGTATTGTTTACGTTCATTTTATAGTTGAGCCATGGACCAATAGAATAAATAAGGACTCCCAACTCCCTATGCTACCCTGTGTTAAAAACCGTTAACGCGCGCTCGCAGCGAACCTGGCAGAGGGTGCGGTGAACTAACGCCGCAGCGGTCCACGATCGTACCTCTATAGTATGTTATTCCATGCAATGTTCTTTGTTTATCTATGATTTAGTGTAGATACTTATAATTCAATGCGAAAGACTTTGATTTGAAGTATCTTATCAAAACACGAGCAAAGATGATTCAGTCAACTTCTGACGCAGAATCAAAGAGACTTGCTAATAATCAAATTAAAGGTAATGCTTGAAGTCAGGTATCTTTGATTTTGTGACACTCAGTTGATTTTTATCAGTACAACACTATTTCTCACTAAAAAGATTTCACTTAACAGAGAGGCGCCTTCGGCTAAAAGTACAATCCTGATTCCTGCTGCACACTACATACACACTTCCTTTGGCTTTCTCAACAGCAGTTGCTGCTGAGTAAAACGCAAAGACATAAAGACGGAGCACTAAAAGCAAAAAATGAAGCTTCTAGAGCTTCTTTTCAATCACCTCTACTATTGGCTAGAGGATTGGCGGCGAAATCGGGACAAGTTTGAATTCAAATGTAGGGCGGGAACTAATAAATAAAATTGCGGAAACAAAGTATTTTAGGTTGATATTTGCCCAAATTCAGGTACACACTCATATTTTTTTAACTTTAGGTTAGTTTCAGTCCGTCGTCGACCGATTAATTTCATTTGGGAGTAACGTTGATCTAGAACTGTAACGGCCTGTTTGAACCTGCAGAACCACCATAAGCAGAAGAAAAAGTAACTTTATCTGAGATTACTGCCTGTTACCGAGCAAAAGTAGGTGTATTATATTAGGACGCAGACCGAACTTTCTTAGTATATTCGTTTTAGGAATTTAAAATACGTTTCAAAGAAGAAATGTGCAAAAATCAAGAGGACAAGTTCAAATCAAATTTCCGTTTGCCGCCATGGATTCCCGCGCTCATTTACACACTCACACAAGCGCGCAGCGCCGAACCTAGCTTCACTTTTTCCCCGTGCTTTTAGATACGAGCGCTCCGTCTTTATGTCTTTGGTAAAACGGTTAGAAATAACTAGAGTCCCTTTATACTGAGAGTCAAGACAATTTGAATCCATTTCTGATTGGTTCCCGTATTTTAGGCCTCCACAGTGTCACAAACGGGAATAAAGATTACATTTTCATCAATTGCAAAGATTATAATCTGAAATGGACCAGGGAATTACGGGTTCGGCAAGGAACAAACGGAATGAGAGGAGGAACGGAGAAAGGCATTTGAGAATGGGCCGATCAAAGATTACGAAAAACGTTCAATTTCTGTAATCTTTATTCCCGTTTGTGACATCCATGAGCCGAATTGTCTTGACTCTCAGTATAAAGGGACTCTAGAAATAACACTTCACATTAATACCAGTTTATGTACACGAAGACTGACGAAGATTGAAATGAAAATGGGAAACTTTTCACACTAAACTCTTCAAAACTGCAGGGCGACCACGAGGATACGAGGATCTAGAAACTTCTATGAGCACTACTAGCTACGTTTATGCGAGGCTCGAAACCTAGAGTCCCTTTATACCCAGAGTTAAGACAACTCGATTATCAGCTGACTGGCAGCCG